AGATTTAATGTTGTAGAAGAAGTCATGTTAATCAAGTGGTTTCCTGGATCTTGAAGTAATAAGCGAGCAAAGATGGCCTGTTAAGAAAAATAAACAAATTAAACAAATTCAAAGTTAATCTTAGAACATAAAGAGGTAAAATAATTTTGACAATAGGTTATTACAAGAATCACAAGGTTTAGAGTGAAAAGGAAAAAAGGACCCAGTATCTTATTACTTTAGAAATGTTAGAAAATAATCGTATATGTAAAGTTATTCTAAATAAAGCCTAAAGTATTTGGCATAGAACCAGTATAGAACAGGCATTAAAAGACTATTTGTTGAATGGTATTAAGAATCAGTGATTAAACTTACATGTGAAATCTATTACTCTATGTGATTTCTGGCTTCACTCGAAGATACTCAAAATGTGTAAAGTTAAACTGCAAGTTGTTAAGTGTCTTTCCAATCAAACTTTTATCTCTTTAATATTAATCAGGTATTTGGAAGGTACAATGCACTTGCCATGGCTTGGATTCCCCAAAAGATTTATATGTTAAAGACTTGGTCCCTAGGTTAGTGCTGTTGGGAGATGGTAGAACCTTTTAGGAAGTGGAGCCTACTGAGAGGTCCTTAGATCATTGCCCTGCATGTTGAATGGGACTGTCATATCCTAGTCTCTTTCTCTTTGCTCAAAGGTCCATAATAAAAGCAGTTTTGCTTTACCACATGCTCCCACCATAATGTACTGCCTTATTACAGGCCCAAAACAAGGGGGCCAATGGATCATGGACAGGAATCTTCAAATGGGTAAAATAAACTTTCTCTTTATAAGTTACTTCTCTTTGTATTACATCAGAGTGATGGAAAGCTAATAGCATTCTGGATTTTGCTAGGATATAAAGAAGAAAGAGGGCTATAGATACTGCACAATGGTAGAGCACTTGCCTACCATGGGTAAGGCCACGGATTGGATCCTTAGCATCTTAAAACCACTCCCACCAAAACCAAAACACAACAAAACAACAAGAACAAAAAACCCTAGGAAGATAGAGATGAGTGTTGTCCTAACAAATTGAACAGTCTGACAGGTGAGATCAGACAGGTGCCTGAAAAAACACAACATGAAACAGAAAGTGACAATTTTCATTAAGATACATGGATAGATTAGGAGGATGTAACTCCTATTTGGCAAGCTTTGTAAATAAGATGGCATTTTAACTATTTGTAAATAATGGGGTATATTTGAATATGTGGCCATAGTATCGAGAAGATTCCAAAGAAACCAAAAACAACATGAGAGATGGAGGTAAGCAATGTCACAGTTAGAGAATGTTGAGTACAATTTGACAGTATGTTAATTTTTACTGAGGGCACCTGTTAAGAACATAAGAATGGTACCTGCTCAACGTTGCTCATATCAAGCCAGTCTTGATCTTCCAGTTCTACTGCCATTTCTTCCAAATACACACAACGGCTGGGGATGCCATTCCCACTTTTCAAGCTAGGATCACCTGGGAAGTAGTTTTAATCTGATAGGTTAAGGACACTGGGGCAATGTTCCTGGTCTTATACAGATCACTATTTTTTTTTTTTTTTGAGGGGGGTGTCTTTTTTTGAAACAGGACCTTGCTTTGGTGCAAAGAATGGCCTTGAATTCCTGGGACCTTAGGTGCATGTAATTATACCCAGTTCCAGATAGTTAATCTTTGTAGCCTTTCTCTTAAATCCAGGTTTGATCCAGGTAATACCAGAGTGATCTTGATACACAAAGCTGTATCTAAAGATTTAAATCCTCCCTCCCTAGCTACAGAGCACCAGTTTTGTTATAAACCTATTGTCATGACATTTAAAGAGTAAATCCCAGACATTGTACTAACTTTGGGGTTTAACTACAGATATAGGACAGTGGGAAATCACTGTCTAATGTCCCTTAGGGTTCCATGTGAGAAGACAATGGGTTTGATTACTATTTCCATTTTCCTCTAAAGGTAGTTAATGCAAGTAGTTACATGGCCTAATCATTATCAAAAAGGGAACAAAAATTATATCTGTCTAAATACTGCTTTTAGGTCATACCAAAAGCTTTATAGAAATATAAACAACATGCTCCAGGGAGTACTGTGAAATAATTTAACCACTAGATGATATAGCTGGAAAGACAGAAGAATGAACAGATTGGCTCTAAGTCTATAACTCACTGTTATCCAGAGTAATGAGGAAGATCCTTTGGATCATGTGATTGATGTTGAGTTGCTCACATATCTCTTGCTGTGACCGGAATGAGCGGCTGATCTCAGCCACAGAGTAATCAAATTCATCCAGGCTCTCTGACACACTATTATCCGAATCATCTGGGCTAGCTGGGAGTTCATCTGTCAGAACATGTAAGCTGTTAAACATCCATCTCCCTTTCTTTTAGAGAGAACCAAGGCTACTACCAAAATAATGAAGAATAGGATAATTTCAGATGTGAAACAAGTTAATCATCTAAATAGTGAATATCTCAAGTAAGGCAAGTTAAGTGCAGGATTCTGAAATCCCTGGCTATAAATCTTACCATATTTTTCAAAGCAAAAGTTTTATTACTTCTACCCATAATTGTACTCCACACTGCCAGAAACAAACAAACAAACAAACAAACAGCTTTACTTTCCATATAAAATCCTAGTGAAGAAAGAATTACCTAATAGATTAAAGTGCCTGTAATTATTTTAAATGTCTGGCTTTTTCCAGGAGACATATTTGTTTTAATAACTCAAAACTGTACAGGAGGAGCTGGGGTTGTGCCTCAGTGGTAGAATGCTTGTCTAGCATGTGTAAGGCACTGGGTTCGAGCCTCAGCACCATATTAAAAATAAATAAAATAAAGGTATTATGTCCATCTATAACTAAAAAACAAAACAAACACAAAAAAACGCACAAAACGGTACACGAAAATACAGTATAGAAAGTCTCCTCTGAAACACTTCCCTATAGTCAAACCACTCAACTTAGCTGTGTTCCAGACTCTGATTTTTCTCTTTTTTGTTCATTACTGTGGTTTTTCTTTTTTCTAAAAAATGGGTTCACATAATACATAATGCTCTTTAGCTAGCCTTTTAACATGTCTTCCCCACCCCCACTGAGGCAGGATCTCCCTATGTTGCCCAGATTGGTCTTGAACTTGAGATCCTTCTGCCTCAGCCTCTCAGTAGCTAAGATTTTACAGGGATGTGTCACTGTGCCCAGCTCTCATTCCTTTCAGTAGCTGCACTATATTGCATTTATTTTACATGCACTGTAACTAATGTAGCTGCCGAAACTCTAGGTTTATTCATTGCCTGATTTGGTTGTCTCCAACTTTTTTATAATTTCAAATAATACTGCACTTAATGTAACTCTTTGTTCACTTGTGTATTTCTATAGGATAAATTCATAGAAGCAGAACTGCTGGCTCAAAGGACTTGAACACTTTTTTTTTTTTTTGCAGTGTAAGGGATCAAACCCAGGGTCTCACCCATGCTAAGTAAGCACTTTATCAATTGAGCTACATCTCTAGCCTGAGCCTGGCCACTTAAAAAGTTTAACATATACTCGTAAATTACCTTCAAAGATGCACTGATTTATATGCCTACCCACT